ATCGTATTTTGAAGGCATTAAACATTACCATAGCGATCAGAGTGTTGCGGCCAGATTAGACGCTCCTTGTGTTTATTATTATATTTCGAAAACACCACAGTTTTCATGCAGCTCATACCATATTATTTTGTTGTATTATTTCCGCCACACCTTAATTGCCGGTCCCTGAAAATATTGTCTGACATAAACAGGTCCGTGGGGCAAAAAAGGTTGGGGACCCCTGCACTACACCACTTAAAAATGAGCGGGAAAATAAGAAGCAGTCCGCAGAGAAGCAGATTACCACGACACGAGTGCTATTTTCGACACGACACGATTTATATTTTCGATGTAAAATCACAAAACGAAACAAGCCCCCAACAGTAGCATTATTCAGTCTAATTCCTCTTCACTTCAACATTTAACTTTAAAAATGAAAAGAAAAATGTACATTACATCATATTTCTATATGAAAAAGAAACACATTGATCCAGACACAGAGAGAGAGTCCGATGATGATGGTGGTGAGAGATCTGAAGAGGAGCAAGTTGAAAGCACCAGAGAGGGAGAGTCAGAGGACACGGGATTAATTTATTTTCAGAGCAAGGACACAGAGCAGGAAAGGGATACAAATGAAGATCCTGAGAATGAGGAAGATGAGACTGCAATAGAAGTGGAGTGTGAGACACAGACAGAGGATATTTGCGCTTCCACAAGCACTGGACCATCAGGTATGTGATGCTGAAAAGAACACAATCCTGTCCTGTGTGTGTGTGTGTGTGTGTGTGTGTGTGTGTGTGTGTGTGTGTGTGTGTAACTTTGTTAGTATCCCTTTTTATTTAAAATTTTATTTAACAGGAACAACATATTAGACATTGCCTTTTAAAATTTGGATAATTATATGCATGTGAAACAACCCAGCCGCTGGGGGGCAGTGCCCTCCCCTGGGGGTGCACTGTTCCCCAGTGCCGGTCCCAAGCCCGGAGAAATGGGGAGGGTTGCGTCAGGAATGGCATCCGGCGTAAAACTTTTGCCAAGACGACCATGCGAGTTGGTAGGACGGTTTACAGGGGCGGATGGAAATTACTGACTCGCTGTGGCGACCCCTGAATAGGGATGTGCCGAAGGGAGAAGAAGAAGAAGAAGAATATGCATGTAAAACATTTAGCTTCAGTGTATTTGCAATTTTAGTCCCTGGTCAGGCTTGAGAATGTATTAATTTATATTTATTGAATACAATAAAAAATAATTAATACAATTAATAAATAGCATCAATCAATACATTTTAGACACTTGTGCATTAGGGTGGTCCACATTTTCATGGCAAAAAAAAAAAGTTTGTCGGATTCGTCGGGCCGGGTCGGAAATCTTGTCGATACTATGACACAAGGATGTGTGCAAAATTTTATTCCGATCGGATAATTTTATCCCGTCCCGCAGAGCGACCAAAGTTTCCCCTA